GAGGCATAAAGTAGAGAAATGAAAACTAATTAACTTTGTAAACAAGATGCCAGTGGAAGCTGTTGTGTAAATGAGATGTATGAATCTGTATGACTGACTGTGTGCTTTGGTAATGCTTTGTAGTTGCTCTAATACATATAACAGATTATCCTCTCTAAATTAATGGCACAGAGAAGAAGACGGTTATTTACAACAGTATGAAAACCTCTTTAAATGATTTTATTTTTCAGGGGTTTTTTTTCCCCCCCCCTATCCCCTTATGTAACGTTTCCAGGGTATCCTGGAGGGTGGAGAATCATTAAATTGGTTTGAATCATCATTGCACACGCAAGTGTATGCCATCAGCTGCAGGGAGACTGCGTTAGTTCCTGGCTAGTTCCGACACTGGCAGGATTTTTCCCTGTGTCATTTGGCTCCTGCTTCCTGTCCACCCAGCTGCTATCTCGCATCAACACACAGTAAACAATTAAGAGGAACAAATAGTGAGAAACCTGAACTCTGAGTCACCAACGGCAGAAAAACGTCAGAGCTAACAGCCACAAACGCACAGAACAGCCCCATTCTCCTGGGTAATAAAACACAGCAGTGGCCACCTGTGTGACAGCGTGTGCGTACTGATCCTCAATCTCTTTGCATAGGGCTCATACTTGGATGCAGATCTTTATAGCAGTGAGAACAAGATATACTGCTTAACCTTTGGACACACTGGTTATATAAATTTGTGGCAGCTTAACTGAATTGTGTTGTTCCCTGTTGTGAATGTAACTGGGAAACCATTGCACATTACAGTGCTTAGTCATCTGTGTGAAAAGTAACCTTTGCAGCATCCTAGCACTTCTTCAGAGTCTGTCTACTTACAAATAAAGTCATCACGCTGTTGGTCTTTACTGCATCTGGACATTTAATACAGACAGCCAGCTTGGGTTGGAGATGGGCACAGAGGTTTTTGGAGCCAAGCAGTGACGTTGTGGATCTTTCTGCTTTGTTTTTTAAAAATAACTTTCTCCTTAATCTTTGTTGTTCTGCCATTGTCTGTGGTAGCACCTAGGCTGTGCTCAAATTATTAATTAATTCACTTGCACTCTCATTCAATCACTATATAGTGTTGGCTGTATTGTAGGCTCACTAGGACATAACTGGAGACAATTGTTTATACATTTCAGACACTACATGTATGTACTGCTGCTGAGATTGTAGACCATGCGCACCTCAAACTTGCAACTAAAAAAGTAAAGTATGATGGAAACTGCAGGTGTAACTGCGTTATTATATTATAATAATAATAATAATAATAATAATAATAATAATAATAATACACAAATTATGAAAGAAAATTACCATTTCAAGTTGCAAATTGCAAATATTTCATAAGTAATCTACTTAAGTATGTATCACAAATGTATGTACAGTTTAGACTGAGCATTTAAAGTGTTGAATATGGCTCTCCTGTTTAAATCTGGCACCCAATGGGTGGGTAATATTTACAGTTGTATTTTTGAATGGCAAGACAAAGTTTCTGAATTCCCTGCTTATTTACTGAGTAGTACATTATATGGTCAGGCAGATATAGTCCTGCAAAAGCTTTCAAATTTGGCACGCTAATTGGGGCTAAATCGGGATCTTACAGACTTGGACACCCGTAAATGATCAGAACATAAGGTATTTGTTATTGCTCGGATTTGGGCATCTTCACAGCATTCTTGCGCCATATTTTATTTTCATTCAACATCCCATTTTGAAAAAGCGTCACTGGACCTCTGGTTAACTGCTGAACTGCTTGAACCTGTCATTGCTGTTTGCAGCTATATTTGACAGTAGGATTTTAAGTTAAGCTTTACATCTGAGCTTCCTGGGGATGTAAGAGCTATGTTTGTGCATGACACGTGGCACTATCAAAAGAGGAACTTGTCTTATCTGAAAGTGATTTATCTTTTATGGTGTCGTTCCCCCACCCCATTCTGCAAAGTCAGTTTATGCATTAAAAATGTTAGATGTAGTTATTCTCAAACTAGTAGTTTGTTTTTGTTTTTTTTTTCTGCTTCTTGTATATGTGGCAGGTTCTAAGGTCTCAAAAAAACGCACCAAATCCATTTGCTTGTTTCACTAATGGCAAGATGATGTTTTCAGTTTTGTTTTATTTTGTTTTAAATTCAGAGGATGATGAAGGATAAATGATTACAGATGAATAAGTAGATTTTGCCTTTTTGCGCTGTAGTGACTCTCCACTTAGTAAGCAGTTGTCCATAATTATTTTGTGTGAACACACAATAATGTCTACAAATTGCATGGTTGAATGACTGCAATATTTTAGATTAAAAAAATTAAAGGCAAGTGAAATCAAGCTGAAGGTTCACTATTCATATTTCACTTTGTGCTTTAGTCCATAACTGCCTGCAGGAAAAGGAAAAAGAATAAATAAAAAAAAAATCCATAATTCAAAGAGTGTCAGCCTAATGATTATATCCATTTCTTTTTAGTGTGTGTGAACTGCGTAAACTAAAGTTTACCTTTTGAAGTGTTTTTTTATTTGATTTTGATGTTTTACAGTCAGATTGTGTGATTTTTGTTTTGTGGAAGAGTTTGTTGTACTTTTTGTTCAGCAGTGTCAGTGACGCAGAATATTGGGTAACTTGACATACGCTGATCAAGTGATCAGCACTGTCGCTTTAAGGAACGATCCATTTGGAGTAAATGAGGACAGATGTTAGTAAAGCACTGAGTACTTGCAAGCTGTGTGCGTTGTGTCACTATACAAATAATCTCTCGGTTTTGTTTCATTTTTGCTGCTTTCTGATCTTTAAAGACAGCACAAATGACACGAGGCTGGAATTGTCACAAATGCAGGAGCTCTGCAGTTGAACTCCTACCACCTCATCTCCGCTCAAATTGATCGGAGTATTAAGAGGATGTACGGCATGTTGCTCTGTGAATGGGAGAGAGAGACAGGGAGAGTATGAGGGGGAGGGAGAGAAGGGAGGGCGAGGGAAAGGGACTGTAGCGTAGTCGTATATGTCAGCCTCAGAAGCTGCGTGGGTCGCTCAGCTCCCTCACGCCATTGTTGTTGTTGTGAAAAAGAGAGAACAAAGGACTCCCCATGCTGTGGACCCCTTATACCTTTGCCGGCTCAGCTGTGCCATGATCACACCCTGATGGAATGCTCTTGAAATTAACCATATTAAGGAGCACAGCAGGCGTTAACTGAGCTGGCACGCAGTCAGTCACAGAGTCAAGAAGGGAACTGGAGAGGGAACTGAGGCATCATCTAAAGTCCTCCTTATTTTTGCTCCTGATTTCTTGGGCTCATCTGCCTCCTTTTCCGGAGAGTGGCTACTGCTGATAACGTTTCAATCCCTTCTGTGAAGGTTTGGCGTGGACATCGCTGTGGCTTATTTGTTGAAGGGGTTGCTGTGGATACTGACGGTAGGGAGGCTGCACTAGAGCCAGAGGCGAAAGTGAACAAGCCGCCTGCTGCAGAGAGAGACGCTGTTTGAGCAGATGCGGCTGAACCACGCTAAGCAAGCATGAGATTTATGAACTACTTTGTGTAAATGCTACGTCCAGTGCAAGAGACCGATCTCCATATTACTGCACTCCTCGCATCTTGTCGGTTTCTTCCTGGACTTTATGCAGGAGTTCATGGAAGTGGAGGATGTTAAAAGAAAACATCCAAGCCAGATGTGCTAGCATCGCAGGTCATGTGATTTCTCATGAGGGTTGGGTGAAATGGTGGAGGGTCTGATAGACCCTGGAGCATCTTTTCCTTTCTGTGACTGCGTGAACAGAGACGCTTGAATGAGAAAAAGCAATGCGGGCAACAGTAAGTAGCAGTCAAATCTTTCGCAAGCAAAACTTCCTTTGTTTGATTTTTATTGGCTGGCAGTGAATGTCACAGTATTGATTACAACAGTAATTTCCAGTGTAAAATTAAATGGGGGAGGAAATATCCTACAAAGCATATTTGCTTCAAATCAAAGAGAGTGTAAAACAAACATACACATGCAGCCGTCTCTGAAGTAGCGAGACTTTGATTCACTTAAACCTCCCTTGCCCCTCCCACCACCTCCATCATCTACGCTTGCTGCTGACGCTGCTTGTGTGGGTTTGTATGGACATATGAGGCTCTGTGTGGCAGGCAAAGGGCTCTTTCCTCTCCCTGCTGAGCACATGAATGGGAGCAGTGTCAGAGATGGAGGTGCTGATGATTTCAGTGCTTGAAGCGAACCATAGTCAAAGCCCTTTGCTAGAGGAGTGTAGATTCTATGACAGCGACTTCCACAAGAGTGAGGTAACTAGCTCCCACACACAGTGCCAGGCAACAAAAGCCTAGTTGCGCATGTTTCAGACTTTAAAAAGACAAGTTAACGGAATAATCAGTTTGTGATCTTGATAGTTTCATTTTCTAACCTAAGCTAACCTGTTATTTAATTGAAAGGAGAAAAATAATGATTGTTATAAACTTACAATAACACTTTGGATGCAGCTTTTAAAAGAAAGGTTATATTGTCAGAGACCTTGAAGGTGATTGGAAATGTCTTTACAGACCAAAATGTGCTTTTTAGTTTGTGCTTTCTTGGTTGTTTGTTTTTTTTTTGTTTTTTGTTTTTTTGCTTTTTTTTTTTTTTCCTGGTCTTTTGTAAATGACATAAGCAGTGTGACTCATTGTCGGCTACGTAGCTGTGTCTTTTCTTAATCAACAAATTTGTCTTTCCTGTACATTTGATTTAGCTGTGGCGAGAAACTGTTTTCCAGCAAATTATATTTTATATTATCATATTGATTTTTGTATTTTTTTTTTAATACTTTTTTTTCTTTTTTACGATTGTGGTTTTTACCTTTTTGACTTTCCTGAATTATACCTTCTTTAGGGTATGAGACGGTTTAATTATTTTAAAGTTATTCATTAAGCATGGCACTTTTGTAGGTCATTCAGTATGCCTTCACTGAAATGAGAGTTTGAAACTCATATTTTTCTGTTTGTCATCTTGTTTGCTTTCTCACAGGTAATCCTGGTGCAAGTAAACCCAGGTGAGGCCTTTACTATTCGACGAGAGGATGGTCAGTTTCAGTGTATCACAGGTAAGAAGAAGCGTTGATCTTTTTAGTCTAAATTTTTATCTGTGTTGTCTAATATGACATAACGTTCAGTTAAGTCAGTCTTAACTTTTTTTTTTTTTTTTACCTCACTGGATGTTTTTCACCCGTCTTTATTCATTAATGCATAGAGACAAAAAAAACCCCAACGTATTTTCTCAGTTCTGTTTTTTGCCTTTAAAAATTAGTTCATACAATGTCATCTGTTAATCTATTTTTGGAATACAATAGTTTCCCCAGCATTTTAAAGAGATAATTAGGCGTTGTGTTTGACTATGTGTTTTCTGCATAGATAACACGGCAACAGTATTAGATCAAGGTTTAATTTTCATCATCACCTTGTACATATGAATACATATAAAATGTTAAAGCTTCAAACTCATTCATTTGCAGCAGAAATCATCAACAGCTAATGAAAAATAAGGCACCTGCATGACTGTCACTCAACTGAAGAGCCTTTTCTGGCATTTGGTAGAGAAGGCGTGGCTGTCAGATAATCATATTAATCTTCACTCTGCATCACGTTTACAAAGAGAAAATGAAAGTTGAAATGTTTGGATAAACTTAGCCTTGGGAAAACTAGAGACCTAGAGGGGAGTAGGACAAAGGGAGATTAAGTTGAGCCTAAAGTCAAAGTTGGGCTGGTAAATCTGATCATTCTACTTGTATGTTCGTCATTTAAGTCATGGTGGTTGGTAGTGGTACATTTAACTGCTTCATATCTTAAAGCATGCATAATATTTTCCACCGTTACGTATGTAAATGGGGTGGAAAAATTACTATAGGAGGGGTTGTATTGAATTACAGGGTTGCAGTAGTGTTAATAAAGTGCTTGATGAGTGCGTTTTTTTTTTTTTTTTTTGTTTTCTCAGGATATGGTAATCTGATTAACACAGATTCTGTTCTTGTCAGTTATTTCCTTTATGTGGAGTCATTCAGCTTGGTTTTTTCGCCTTGAAAGAGAGGAAGTTGGTGAGGATGCAGTGACGTATTTTTACTGAAAAAATATCAGAATGGTAGTCATGTGTCATAGCTCTCAGCTTGCTCAGTGCCATAATTGCACGTATAGTTTCAGTTACAACAGCGACTAGTTCAAAGAATGGCATATGACAAGATGTTTTTAAGACAAATATCTTTAAACGTGCTTAAAGGACAGATTCTTGTTCTGTAGTATGTGATGTACATGTGGTCATGCAAGCATTATTTAAGCGTGTTTTGTTTACTATAATCATTCCATCTGTCTTTAAAGTTAATAAGAGGCTTCAGCATTCTGAGACTGTTGAATCAAATGGGTATCTTCCAAAGGTACCGTGGTTTAAGTATGAAGTTCTTTATTTTCTTCATCTGGACACTGTTTTCCTTGTCAATATGGCAGCAAGAGGATAACATGAAGAATTAGATGCCTACTGAAAAGCACAGTTAGTTTGGAAGGTATTCATTTGACTTGTCAAACTCAGACTGCTGAACGCTCCTATTACGTTTGCTGAACTTTAGAAGAGAGCTTTTTATTTTTATTTTTATTTTTTTATTTAATCAAAGCCTTCAGACTTTGTCCCTCATCACTTGAATTACACATAAGGAGGAGACCTGTGACCATTGTAAACGGGAGCAGTGATTAAAGCAAGCGAAACCGGTTTTGTGTACTCATACGATCACATGTACTGTTTTTAGAAGACTTAAAAATGAGTGAGCCTATTGTTTAACACAACAAACTAACAAAAAAGATGTTAACAAAATGTGCATTATTTATACGAATCTAGCATGAGAAATGCTTGATTACGCTCAGTTAATATGTAATTTTGTTCTCTTTATATTCTTCTCCCTCGTCTCATTAAAAATCCATTGTCCTGATGAATGGTGCATCTGTAATCTATATATCATAATGTTAAAGAAAAATATGGCATAATTACAGTGTTTAGTAGAGGGCTTGGGGCAAAAGATGTTTGAGTAAGATGTGTTACTCATGCTTATTTGTCCTGATGGCATTTCCTTTTCCACAATTGTTGGTGATTACGCTGGCTTTGTGACAGCAACAATGAAGTCTAGCCCTAACGTGTTGCTGACAGTGTGAAGGAGGGGAAAAAAGTGCCAGTGTAGTTGTAGGAGGGAGCGTCGTGGTACCATAATTATAAATGATAAATTGTAGTTGCCCGGAGAAAACATTGATCTGAAAATGATTTGCTTTGTTTATGGCTTGGTACACGGGACATCCTGCCCTGTATTGACATTTCCTCGAGCTCATAGCCACTCTTGTGTTCTCTCTCTCCAATTGTGAATTTGATATGATAAGGAAAAAGATGTTAACATAGTGTGATTAATTTCTGATACCCTTTGTGACCCCATTAAAGGCATTCAGCATTGTAGGACACATTTAATGATTTCCATATAGACTGCTGCTTACTGTCTCATTGTGTCTGGGCCTTTTGTCTATACCATGTGGCATATAGAAATAACTATGAGATGACATGCCCCAGGGATCTATAGTTAAATGACAAAGGAGTTATAGAAAGTGATACTGCCCAGCCAGGAAGCCATAATACAGTGTGCTCACAGCAGGGGCTCTTCTCCCTACTCCTCTCTTCTGAGTTCTCACACCAGTCCCCCATTATGAGCTTAGTAAACCTTCCTAATAGGGAGCAAGCATGCATAGTTTCCATCAGAGGAGAAACAAGGAGCTGAGAGGTGCCACATAGATCAGTGTGACTGCTACTAACTGGCCTGTCACAGGGTGCACTCATCTCTCTGTGACGTGAATAGAGGGATGACTCACCGCTTGCAGTGCAAGGAGGGAGGAAGAAGTGTGTGTATGTGTGTGTGTGTCTGTCTGTTTGTGCTTGCAGGCATGCATGCATGCATGCATGTATGTGCTGGTTGATTGGGTTGTTTTTTGTTTTGTTTTCCCCCTCCCTTGTTTGTTCAGAACAACCCATACAACACAACAATATCTCTGTTCACTTAAGTGTTTAATGTGCACGTGTATGCTTCCATCTTTAACCCTGGTGTGTATGATGGTATCAGAAAGCCAAAAGGATCTGGCTTACGCACTTTTTGCTTTATACGACATCATTTTGTGTACTCATATATTCACATATTTTTAGCAGCTTAATGTGCACAATTTCTGTGTGTTAGGGCATGGCAGCCAGGTTAATAGGAACGCACAGTCTTGTTAAATGTCGTTTATAGAAGGCGTTTGCCTTTTTGCTAAGTTGGAGGCGGGACCTGAGATGATAGAATCTAAGTGGCCATTTACTGTGCTTGTGTTGGGTAACTTTCTTGCCACAAGGAGAGTGGACATGCCCTCACAGTTTCAGGCCAGCACTCCCTAATTTGGCTTTCTCTTTACCTACTTCTAGATGCCAAATCTAGACGTAGATGAAGAAAGCTGCATCACTGGAATCTGTAGCCACCTGATAAGCTTGGTGACAGATGAGGCAAGTCAGCTTCAGGACCACTAGGTTGATTAGATCCACTTCTTTATGTGATATAGCCTTGCGGTGATTCACCATCACTTTGGATGATTCAGTCGGTGGTTTATGGCATAAAGCTCTGTCTAGTTCTACAGGGCTTATTGAACCTGATAGTGATTTGCCATTTTTCACAAAAAATCAGTCATTTTGGTATTGTGACAGGAAGCTAAAAATAGTGTGCACAGACCTTCATGTTACTGAGCAGACACACACCTTACTCAGTTTGATTATTCAGTCCTTCTGCTTACGTGTCCCTTATCTCCGCTGAGGCTGTCTCACAGCTATGAAACACTTCACTTCACTTCATTTCTGATGATCTGCAGGTGTCTTTAGTCTTTCTTTTTCCCTATTGAAGAAAGTTACATCTATCATATCCTGTGCCTTAAACTGTCTACACTGTATACTATGGTGTAGTCCGTTTTGAGACTGTTTTGATGACAATCTATGTTCAAGAAGTTCTACGAAAATAATTCCTATGATTTGAGTTTTTGGGGTTGAGTTAATTTGATCCACTTCACTTGCAGTATCATCAACTTGAATTTTTTTGAGCTTGTTAGTGCATACTAACCTTCAGAAAAACTGTTTCAGATAGGCTACCCTAGAAAACTGTATGTATGTAACCATCACGTTTTTTCCCCCCAACAACAGGAAAAACAAACATTAAATGAGAATTTCAAATATGGATTATACATTTGCTGTCGCTGCTTAATTTTCTACCACCTCTTTAGGTGTAATTTATACTTCAGTGTTAAATCTATATGGAGTCTATGATGTAATCTACACTAGTGTCTACTGCTGTTGCTGAAATTTAAACTGGTGTGCTTGCACTTAGGCAGTTTGTCTCTTCAAATTAAAGCATTCTCCTCCTGTCTACCTGAAAAAATGGTGGCAGAAGAAGTGGCCGCTGGAAATGTTTAGAATGAAACAATGGTAATGAATGAACCCATCGTAATTGGTGCAACATTGGTCCAACCTTACTCAGTCTTCGACTGAGTAGCTAAGGCCATCATGAAACGGTTGCTGGTGGCACAGGCTACCAGCAACCAGTAGTCAGCCTATTATTTTAACTGGAAATAAACAGAAATTTGGATGAATTGCATCATTTAAAATTAAAACCCATGTGAACAGCTGTAGTTGGACTTCTTTTCATACACAACACCCTCTCCCAAACCACCGCCATCACATATGGTTTACAGGATTGGGCTGCAAACATCAAACACATTAGCACTATTTTTATGCTCATCACCTCCCCCACCTAACTCCAAGGACATGTACACAAACATGTGGATGCAGACAGTTCATTCACAGCTTCTGCAGTGAGTAGCTCTAAGAATGACTGAGCTTGTGAGTCATTCTCCCGCTGCTGCGTTGATACCAAGGGAAAGGGGTAAAGAGGATATGATGGGGGGGGGGTCAACTTAACCCCACCCTCCACCCCCGTTTAGGCAGTTGGGGGATGTCCATAGCAATAAGATGGTTGCATGTCTCTTAAGCTGTTTTTGTGTTTGGGAAATTATCATTTCAGACATCATAACTTTATGTCAGGAAACTGTTTTTAAAGTGGAATCTTTATTTCCTGAACATAGTCAGATAATTCATTATTTACAAAAAAGTGCCCCCTGTAGTCATGGCCCCTCTCTTGTTCTGGTTTAGTCTGGCTTACAGCAGTATAAGCCTCTGATGTTCTGTAATAAGCACAAGCATGAAGGTTACTGACTCCCTCCCTTCCTGTAAACGTCATTCATACCGGTGGGGGCTGCAAGACTCACACAGATGCCTTAAAATTTTTAGGATATTCAGATTAACTTTACAAATACCCAAGAAAATGTCTATTTTTTTCTTAAAATGTTCAATTGTTTACAGCTTCCTCAAGTTCTGGTTTGCACAGTTCCCTCTCCTTTTTTTCTCCTTCTCTATCTGGATAGATTGGTGATGGTTGGATGCTAGCAGGCATATTTTGGATAAGCACTGTGTCTGAGGATGGGTGTACACATGCAGCCTTTGTAATCTGATAATAAAATGTTGTGCTTGCTATAAATTACTGCCTTCTTAATTTGATGAAAGATATTTCCCGCCTAAAAGAAAAATGCTATATCATGCAAAAAAGGGAACCATTTGCCACAGTGTCATCACTAAAAATTCAGGTTATGGTTTTAAGTTCTAATTATTACTTTTTGGGATTATTGACAGTTCAGTACTTCCTTTTCCCTTGCTTGGGTGTAATTATTATCCACTGTCAGTAAGTGTTCTTGCATTCCCTTGCCTACCCTAACTCTCCTCTTTATTTGCTGATAGAGACAATTTATTAGCTCTAATTAATCAAGCCCACTTCATCTTTATAGGACCACAGTTCATCGTGTTGCCAGTGAGAGCTCATTGAGAGCGCCCATATGAAAATACTGACTGTTGTTCCCTCTGAATGCTTTCCTGGATTTTTACACTTGTCTCTTAACCCAAACAGACTCTATGTAGCTTATCTGCTTCTTTGTAGTCTTCAAATGTAATTGAGGGTTCATCGAACATCGGATTAAACCTAACAGTTTGCTTGTATTATAGCAAGCAAATTTTATAATCTATTATTTCAACACCACGTCTGCCAAGTTTTGTATTTTTGCAGCATGCATGTGATGTTCCGCTTGACTGTTTTTGTTATTGAGCCCCATTTTAAGACAAGCAGAAACAGGTGGGTGCTCAAAGGGCCTCAGCTCATTTTTGTGTATGTGAACATGTATGCGGCCTTTTGAAAAGTCTTTAACTCCTAGAGGAATACTGATACTTTCTTTTTCTTAATGAGTTTTTCTTTTTTCTGTGGCAACTTCCTCTGGAAGGCTGGCACTCCATGGCCACGTCAGCACAACCAGTGCTTCGGTTGACTCAGGGAGAGGAGGGGGGTGGGGATGTGGCCTTTTTTTTTTTTTTTTTCTTCTTCAAATAATCTGATCTTTGTCAGCACGCGTGCGTCAGTTTGATGTAAAAAGAGTGGGTGTCTCCCCCTATTTTCCACCCTGCTTCTCACATCGTGGACTTCTATCCTGCCTCTCTTACCTTGTACTTTCTAGCCCATGCACTCCAAGTTGGTAGACACAAAGCTTTTCATTCTGTGTGAACAACGTATAGCATGCTAATGAGATTAATCAGATTTCCTGTTCCTCAGCATCAGAGGCACTAACTAGAATTGCTTTAGGCAGTTGTTAGGCTGATGTGCTGCTTAGTACTGAGTGGCATAACAGATTTTTCTTAAAAGTGAGTAGAGTTCACAATGCAGCCCTTGAACTCCTACTCAAATTATATTGTTAATCTAAAAATCTATGATGGCTGAGCCAGTGTGACTGGCTTCATTCAGACAAAGTCTCCTCATGTTACCTGAATTTTTGTCCTTGCACAGCCTGTGTTCTTAGGCAGAGAAATGACTCACTGCCTGTTTGCCCTTTTGACTTCAGTATAAAAGGCCTATCTTCTGTTTGTCTTATTCAAGAAAGTTTATTAGCAGGGAGCAGGTGCCCTGCAAAATCTTGGGCTTACGTAGTTGGGTCTCCTGGAGGCTACTGTTGATGCATTTAGTCTTGGCTTGGTACACTGGGTCAGTGGGGTACAATTCTTTGTAACCCTTTGTATAGCAAATAATACCAGAAAGGGGATGTGAGTATGATGCAATTCTAAGCTGTCGTACTACTTTTCTTTGTAAAGTGATGCAAACGCCTCATGATCAGCTATAGATTAAAGTTAACATTTCTGTCTACCCATATGGACATTTACCTTCTCTTATCATGTATTCATGACTTTTCTCCCCTCTCACATTTCTCCCACAGCCTGTAGAATAATATACAAGCATAGAAATGATCACATTTACTTCCTTTCCTGATAGCAACAGCAATATCACCAAAGCTGTGCAACATTCACACACGGATTGACCTACACAGATAAAGACTGCTGTGTCAGCTTCGATGGTGCAGCATTACTTTTCTCACAAAACAAAGTTGCTCGACTGCCTCTCAAACATTACCCGCCTCTGTGTTGAGCTGCTGATTACAACTGTGAACTCTGGACCTGTTATTCTGTGTTGAGATTTTATCTGTTTACACTTAACTAAATGCTACTACAGTCTAAAGCAACAGCCTCACAGTTACTGTAATTTGGTCCCGAATGTATTAGCGGCAATGCTTCTGTTATTTGGAAGTAATAGTGGTGGAAATATCCAAAACAGGTAGCTGGCAAACTGGCAGCTGTTCCTATTTGTGCTCGTACTTGCTGTTAATCTTCCTTGAGACCTGGAGGCTGGACTTAGTACTGAAGGAGGGCAGTGCTAAGTGTTAGTGGGAGTGTGGCAGGCTATAGTCCTAGACACGTTAGAATTAGAATAGCTTTTGCCTCTTATTACTCTTTTGACAAAATGAGTGAAAATGCTTAATCAAGCAATCTCTTTTGCTCTCCTCCATGACATATGGCATTGGGGGGGGTTTGTCTTTGGCCTGTAAGAAGAGAAATGTGTGAATGTGCAAACTTGGCTGAGAGGTCTCTTTCTTTCTCCAAGGCTTTTTGCTGAGCTGTCTCTTCTCTGAGCTGAGCTAAGCCGTTGAACTGCCCCCCACAACAGAGCAGGAAACTTTGTTCCTCAGCACTTTTGGAAAGTGGTTTTCTTGCATTTGCCAGGATTTTTAAAAATGCGTTTTGGGCCTTTTTTCTCATAGGTATTAAGAAAATACTTATTGAAAATGCATCTGGTTTAGAAAAACAAATCATATACAGGGATATTCCTCTTACAGAGGTGCAGCTTTAGTTAAAACTGCCTGTGCATGGGAATTTTAAGTAGCTGAATGTGAGAAGTTTTTCTGACTTAGATTTAAGTAAAGTGTGTTTATTATTTCTATAGAAGTTTTAAGGTAAATGGCCGCATTGTTGACTTTACTAATTGAGTGCAGTCTTCTGTAAATAAAGCCCTGACCCTTCAGTTAAAAAATGTAAATTGGGGGCTCTGGCTTAGTTTTGATCACTCATTCATTGCTGCGTGGCATGTCGGAAATGTGCTACATTTGTGGATTGTGGTTCTGGTTTGCCATAGCTGTTGGGCTTGTATTAAACTTAAGCCCCATGTATGACAGTGTTTATCCTGAGGGAAGGTGTTTGATCTTGCGCCTTTCTAACTTCTTCGTAGGTCCTGCTCAGGTTCCCATGATGTCTCCAAATGGTTCAGTGCCTCCAATCTATGTGCCTCCTGGATACATTTCACAGGTAGCCATTCATGCGCTATTTCCATCCCAGTGTTTCTGATTGGCATCTTATCATTCTGAGAGTAGCTTTGATATCTGCTTTCAATGCTATTGTTCCCCCCCCCTTAGATCATAGAAGAGAACGGAGTGCGGCGGGTTCTGGTTTTACCTCAGCAACCAGAGTTCCACCCAGGGGGGCACTCCCCTCTCCACCATCCTCCTCCACCACCCCATGCCCACCTGCCTGCCTTCATCCCACACCCTGCCATGATGCCCCCTCCACATCACCTGTATACAGGCATGGCAGGGGGCGTGGGCGACATGAGCTCCCAGTACATCTCTCAGTACCATCCAGCTCATATTTACCCAGAGCAGGGTGAGTTGGAGTCAGGAGTCCCTGGATATACTGTTATACTTGTTGTGTTGTTTGTTTTTGTATTTGTTCTCAGCACTTTATTTGGATAGGCTGGTTACACACTAATGGCATGAGTCAAGTCTTACTCTTTTAGTTGCTTAATCTAAGAGAATTACTTCACTTTCATCATGTGCATTTGCATGTCCATCTTATAAGAATAATGTGTTCGTGTCACAGTCTCTACAGATTCTCACTCCCAACATGGACGTCCGTCGTTGGTTCACAGAGATGACAGAACTAGCAAAACACATGAACGTCTGCAGAAGAAACTGAAGGAGCGTCAAGGAGGAGGGCAGGTGAAGGACAGCCCTCCCTCGTCACCACAGAAGTCCTGCAACAGTCCCCCAACGGTGGACATTCATAACGGTATTGGAGGGAAAGGGCTGGAGGCAGAGCAGGGGCAACTTAGGCACACAGTGTCCTCTCCTGACAAGCAGACAGGCAAGCGAAAAATTGGAGAGTCAGCAGGTAAGAGTATTAAAGGGTGGAGGTTTATCATAGGTTTTAGTTTTGGGTTTTAGCATGGTATTTGGGAAAACTAATAGCTGGGCAAAGGTGATACTATTTAATCAGTCATATTTTAATGTGCAGGAAGAATAGTTTCACATTGTGACCTGATGGAGATTGCTACAATGTAGAAACAATCCACTACTAATAATGAAGCATTTAAAAAATCGTTACAATATTTTTCAAGATCCAGTTAGAGAATCATTTTCACAGCTTAGAAATATCTGAATTCCTCACTTGATAGTTTTTTTTAAGTCTTTAAAGCTTAAGGGTAGTAACTAACAGAAGGTTGATCTGTAATCATTAATTTAAAATAAGTTTGACATTTACAGAGTGATTTTTGGTAGTACTGACACATCCTGTTTGTTCAGCACGTAAAAACAGTAGCTATTATTAAAGTATTTTAATAAATTGATTTACTTTTTTCTCTTCTTTCCTCAGTACTTGACAAGGAGGCGCAGGCCCTACAAGCGCTCTTGAGCACCATCAATAAACCAGAGGTTGGTGTTTACTTCTTTCTTTCTTTTTCTTTTTTTTTTTTTAAATCTAATTAATGCAGTTTGCATGATTTTATGTGATTCCGTTAACAAAAAATGAAACTGTAATGATGCTACTATGTTGCATCATTAAACATTCTATTAACAACCTCAATGAATTATTACTTAGCATCTTACTAATGGAGTCAGACCTGCTGACTACCATCCATGTGGGGACTTTTATTCCCAATTGTGCCGCAGCATTTATACAAGTACTGAAAGATTTGGATTTGCTCTGGGTTAAATACATTTTTCCCCTGGCTCTCACATAGTTAGATTATATACATGAGAAAGCCATTTGTTTTGCACCAAAATACATGATTAAATGTTATAGTTGCAAAATTATCTGACTGAAATATTCATACTAGATAAATTTTTTTTTATCCTTTGAAATTGCTATTTTAAAATGGTGTTGGGTTCTCAGCTGCACAGCAGCTTTGCAGATAAATGAAGACGAGAATGGCTGTTCAATAGCAGCTGGGTCAGAATTAGTAGAACTGCAAATAGAATTTGCTTGACCTTATAAGATAAGATTTGTCACCGTTGGTACCGTCTGAGCTCCTTGTAAAAGTAGCAAAAACAACTCTGTTGGAAATATAATAGATAAAGTTAACAGAATACTGGGGAAGTTCAGCTCTTTGCTGCCATACTGGTCCGTTACTCAACAGAGAGTCAAACTGCGGGAAGGAAAAGGACTAAGGTGGGCCTGCAGGGCAGAGGGGAGGAGGTACAGACTTGACCTGATTGAGTTCTTCCACATATGAATCCCCCCCCTGCAGAGTAGCTCAACCTATTTTTAAATCTTCTCCAAACAGAATGGAAAAAAAAATATCTTAGGGTTGCACAGCACATCCCTGCCAGAAGCTGAAAACCTTTTTCCCAATGCACTGTCAGTTTGCATATTTTGATCCCACACTCTTTTCCACTACCAAGCAATATGTTGGTTTTGGAAAATGCAAGAATAAGAAATGCTTATGTTTTTAAGACTTCTAAGCATGGCTGTTTACCAGCCATAACCAGTTTTGGTTCTGAGTTTTAAGGGTTGTAGGAAATTATTAATTTGACAGTATTTTAAGAGTCTGCAGATACTCTGAAGAAGGAATAACTTGATACTCATCCAATGTACTTTCTTGTGATAGGTGTCAGACATCGAGGCCAGAGGAGCAACAGTGAGCTGGAGTGCGCCCACCAAGCCAGAAAGTGAGAATGACAGCAAGGAGGATGACCCCAGCTTCTCAGAGCCTCTCTGCTATGATGTCTCCATCTCAATTAGTGGTAAAGATGGGAAGTACCAGAGCATACACTGGTGAGTATAAGAAACATCCACAAGTTTTCACATCAGTTGTCATGACAAATTAAGCATAGACTATGTCCTTATCAAACTCAAAAGGTGTTTTTTCATTTTCCTTTAATGCAGTGGGGAAGAACTAAGTGCAACTTTAGAACTCCTTCGGCCAGCAACAGACTATCATGTCAGGTTGGTGCAACACTCCACCACCTCTTATTTCAAATCCAGATTTAGTACTCCTAGGAATAATGTATAAACATGTGTTACACCCCGGCCTAGGCAACCGGGGTGCAACGTAGAAAAACAAAGATAAGGAAAATAAAACCACAAAGAAAAACACTAAGGCTC